CTCAGAAGACTTCTGGAATATATTAACATTTTTTAAAATATTACATTTACTAGGCAAAACCTCAGAATAAGGCCTAGGAAATCACTGAGGAGCAAAGGAGATGGGGCAGACCCAAGAGTCAACACTGGAGAATCTGTTCTCAGTAGAGAGTCTGTCCTACAGGTGCACCATCTCCCTAGTTTCAGGTCATCAGCCCTTTTGTCAGGTCACTTTGAGCACAACCCTCCTTCTGTGTTTGCCTATTTGCTGGAGTGAAATACCATGGAAGCATCATAAAGTGAGGCCAGGAAAGGGCTTATTCAGGCTAATGTCAGGACAGGGTCCCCCCTACACTGGCATGATTCTGGGCTTGGAGGAGCCAAAACGTGCCACTTTAGGAAGAGGGTAGAATTAATGTGCATAATACCCCTACTCTGCCATTTTCACTTATTGAAACTCAATAAAGTATTTGTATTATTGGCAGTTTTAAAAAGCCTATGTAAGTAAGTATGTAAGTAATTCAGTACTTATAGCTTATGGCTAAATTATACAGTAGGGTTTTGAAATGTGTTAATGCTTCATCAATCACATATACACTTTTTTAGAGCTGAAAATAACCACACCTCGTCCATGGTTCTTGGGCCAAATCAGAGGGATTCTTTATGTGCTAACTGCTTTTCTTTCATTAAAGTGCTGTGTATGAATAATGAGATGTAAGGGGTTGTGCTGGGTGTTAGCACTGAAGACTGTCAGCCACTGTGTGAATGTTGGCCTACCCTCAAGACACCCGGGATGTTTGATCTGCAAGCAGAATAATAGAAATTGCAATAAACCCTCTTCTTTTTAGAGCTAATTTCCATTGCAAGTAATTTGCTTAGCATTATTTAACACTCTTCTTTAGTCTGACATGGAGTAAGGCAGGGAGGATGTGTCAGAGATAAGTTAGTCAACCTATGTTTATGTCACTGCTGCCATTACAGTAGTTCCCTCCTTATCCACAGGGGACACATTCCAAGATTCCCGGTGGATGCCCAAAACCACGGATAACATCGCACCTTATATCTATTTTTTCCTATGCATACATACCCATGATGAAGTTTAACTTCTAAATTTGGCACAGAGCTTAACAACAATAACATAATAAAATAGAAAATTGTAACAGCATACTGTAATAAACGTTATGTGAATGTGGTCTCTCTCTCTCAAAATACCTTACTCTCCTGTACTCACTCCTCGTGATGATGTGTGATGATAAAATGCCTACGTGATGAGCCACAGTGAGGGGAATGACGTAGGCATGTGATGTAGCCTTGAGTTACTGCTGACTTGGCCTTACATCAGAAAGAGGAGCATCTGCTTCCGGACTGCGGTTCACCGCAGGTAACTGAACCCACAGAAGGCGAAACCGCAGATAAGGCAGGACTACCGTACTTATCATTAAAAACAAAGCTGAGTGATTTTCAGAAAGTTTGCCAGAGTGGAGGAGGGCTAGACTCCCTCATTAGCCAATGAAAGAATCGTTCTTAGTTGGCATTTGAATCTCCATCAGACATGTCTTTCCCCTCCTTCATTCTCATTTTCTACTCGCTTCTGAGCATTCATTTTCTGCTACATAATTTTCTCTTACCTATAACTGCCTCCCTCCCTCTATGTCTCTTTTCCTCTGTCTTCTGCTCACCTCTGATTACTCACCCCAGTATTTATCTTTATCATAAACTTTATCTTATAGGGAACAGGAGAGGGGGTCTGACAGCAGGGAAACACCAGGTGGAGATCAGCGTTTTAAAACAGCTCTGAGCTGCGTTGCAAAAATAGGGGAGAGATTAGAACAAGAAAAATCAGTGGGGAGGGAATAGCAAGGGTCTGAATTAGGACAATAATGACAGTAAAGGCAAGACAGAACAGATTTTTTTTTTTAACATGATGAAAGTAGACTTAATAGGATGTGGTGCCTGGCTTGTAGGTCAGTGATATAGAGGAGAAAATGAAAACTAATGTGAAGTGCTCTAACCGTGCCGGCAGGTAAACACGGCTCCTTTCACAGAGATGGGAAACTAGGCAAGTGATCAGGTTTGAAGGAATTGAGGTGTTCAGGCTTGGACAACACAGAGCTGCACTTAGGGGTGATGGCCAATATGTCAATGGACAATCACTATTCTAAATGGACAGGAGAACTTCTAGATTTAACAGGAATTGAGATTAAGAAAATTATCCAACCATTTTCTCCTTTACTTCCTCTCTTCATTTTACTAAAATAAAATATGTGTTGAGAAGCTATTGCGTGCCAAGTCCTAGTATAGGCATTAGTGAGAAGAGAGAAAAAAAGTAAACAGAGTGTCTGCTCAGGGCATTAGCAAGCTCTGGTGGGAGATGACACCATCAGAGCATATAGTGCTGAGATGAGGTGAAGGTTACCTGAGGAAGCTTCATGGAAGGGGTAGCATTGATCAGGACTATGCTTACTTACATTAGGTTCATTAACTCACCTAATGCCTAGAGAGAAGAACACATGCTTGCTGCTTCCCTTCACAGTCTGGACCCCTCACAGTGATGCAGTTTCAAGCAGACTATGAGACAGATTCCTCCCCAAAAACAGTCACAGAGAATTCACTGCACTCATCCACATTCCTTCTGTGGAAGTAATACTGTGACTTCTTTGTGGGAGAACTTTTGTTAATTTTCTACCTTGTATGTCTTGGTAACAACATATTTATAACCAACTTCTGGAATGCTATGCAATGCTATGGTAGAGGTAAAAGTTTAATCCTGAGTCTTGGGAACTCTCTGGAATCTACCCACCTAAGAAGCTACCCCCCACAGAGTACAGAGACTGAAGCATCCTGATGGAGATTAGGGTGCTTAAAATTCAGGCTGACCCAGCAAGTCTACTCCTAGGCATTTACACAAAGAGAAATGAAAATGTAGGTCCACAGAAAGATTTGCATAAGAATATTCACAGAAGCTCTATTTATAACAATCAAAAACTAGAAACCACCCAAATGTCCAACAACTGCTGAATGGATAAACAAATTGTGGCATATCCATGCAATAAAATATCACTTAGCAGCAATATAAAGGGATGGACAATTGATAAAACAACATGGATAAATCTCAAAAGCATTCTATGTGAGTGAAAGAAGCCAGACTCGGAAGACTGCACATTCTGTGATTCCACTTTTATGAAATTCTAGAGAAGAAAAAACTCTAGTTCTAGGAAGTAGATCAGTAGTTACCAGGGGGCAGGGGAGTGGAGGAGGAGATGGACAGCAAAGGCGTACGAGCAGTGTTTGGAGTGATGAAAATATTCTCTATTATGTAGTGGTTATATTACTGTGTACCGTTTTCAAAGCTCATTGAACTGTATACTAAATTTGGTAAATTTATGTAATTATGCTTCCATAAAGCTGATTTCTTTTTTAAATCAACCTGAGCTGAGGAGTAGGCCCAAGCATTCCCAGCCAGAAGATGCCAATGGCCCTTAGGAAGCTGTATGAGCCAGCACTACCTCAGCCCTCTGGCTGCTACAGCCCTAAACAGACCTCCTCTGCTTCAATGCTTTAGCTCAGACCTTGACACCTCCTGGCTGCTGCAGACTAAGGCTCCCGATAACTCACGCTCATCTTGCCACCCAGCCTAGGGACCAGAGAACCCTGCTCACCCAGACAACTGATCACAGATAATCCTAAACCCCTCCTGCTCTGGACTAGCAGCCTTAAAAATGGCAACACTTTATCCTAGAACTACTGACTGGGGAAAATACCTGGTAAGGATTATACTTTAAGGAGGCTGACTCCTTGGAACCTGGAATATAGACTCTGGGCCCTTCTGTTATCAGGTTCCTAAAGGGCAAGGGGCTTGTTTCTTTTCTCAACATTGGAAAGTAGACTTTCTCTATAGCTATCTGACTCCCTAGGGTCCTACTGAAATCTTGCTTCTCCATTATCGCTGTGGCTACAAGCCTAAGGCTGATGCATGCCCACATCCTGGATGTAATTTGGGAAGGAAAAACATAAAACAAATCTTCACCGCAACAGAGCCCTTATGACTGGGAGAGGTCCTGAGTCAAGACATGTACAGAAGGTTTGTTTCTCCATCACTATTCACTTTTTCCTTCACCCCATTTACCTCCTTCAGCAAAATACAAGTCTGTAATTCTGGAATAACTTGATATTTAAGTGCTATTTCCAGAGTTTCAATAACTACTAATAGAGGAAATTTGCAACAGACACCTTATCAGAACAGTTTTTTGGTACACTTGATGTCAGATGAAGTAAACTTCCATTCAGCATGTGTCTGCATTGTACCAAACACTGTGCTAGGCTATTTGATGTGCTGGACTAGTTGAGTCCTCATGATAATCCTGCTAAATTACATACACCATCGCTTCTTTGCAGAAAAGTTCTCTAAGACTCAGAGAATAAGCAACGTGCCAAACTTACTTAAACTTCGGCTAGCATAGAGTCTGAATCTACCTCTAGTACTATTTGATTTACAAACTTTGCTAAGGAAAAAAATACTTCGGGAAATTACTGTGGTTTAAAACTTGGTTTAAACATTTTTAAGGTCCTGGTTTTGACCTCAGGCACCTGAGTGTGGACCTCAGGCACCTGAGTTTCCTTCGATGTTACTTTCCTCACCTGTAAATGATGAAAGTAAATCCACTTCACTGAGCTTTGAAAGACTCTAACATAATCCACACAATAAGCATAATAACTATTAGCTATCGGTATGATCTCAAATGCCAACCTGGCTCCAAATGGAATAAATACATGTGTGTATGGGGGGGGGTGGGTGTGCATCTAGACAGAGGTTGAATTTCCACACCATGGATCCTATTTCACTCTTCAAATCGTTGTAAAACTTTTAGTGGTTAATAAGTAAATATATATATCCTGCCTTCAGTGAGCTTATATGGACCATCTCTGTAAATTCATGTTCTCTCTTTCCCCAGCCATCTCTAAAAACTGATACTTGACCACAAAACCCTATTCCCAAACAGTCCATGCACTCCCTTCACTCACCTGCTCTGGGTACTTGCTACCAATGATCTCTGCTACAGTGTTGAAGGAATCAACATCTGGGTAGTTCTTTGCCCCCATCTTCAGCTGAATAACAATTCTGTTCCCACGAGAAGCCATTCTTGACATCATTTCTGCATCTTCCACTGTAATACAAGCTGTTGGGATTTTTGGCACACCATCTTGGTATTCCTGAATACCTGTGTGAGGACTTGAGAAAAGAAGTTACCAGGTTACCTTAAAAGTAGAAATGGACCAAAGGTATTTTTTAAGTGTCTGTATTTGACATTTGACTCTCATTGATCTTTGTTTGCATATGAGAAATAGGATGGGTGGGCAATGTTGGTTTATTTGCTTTTGATGTGAATTTTCCTTTTTGGTAAAAATAACTTAGAAACTTCAATTTAATGGTCATCTCATTGAAAATATTACATGAAATTTATTTTGATAATTTGATGATCCTTCAAAGTTGCAAACTGCCTCAAACTCAAAAGAACATTAACAGCACCTTCATGACCAAGAGGTGAATGAACACGTGTTCAAGGAGACAAAGAAAGCTCTGAAGTCCATCAAGGCTACAGACCAGAAGACCCACACGTCTGGGAGAAAACTGCCCAAATACATCCAGCTCTCTGTCACAGACCGGCTCTGGGGATACTCTCTTCCCACTCAAACACAGAGATCTGAACATGCAGCCCTGCATTGGTGGTAGAATGCTTTTGCAGAAAACTGTAGAACAATGGGAAATATTTGTGTTCCCATGAAGAAAAGTGCTGCATAAACCCCAGTCCCTGATTTTACTGTTACAAGAAAAAGAAAACTATGATAATTTTGGCACTAGAAAAGAAATATTACCCCAATGGTCAAGTTTTTCCTGGTAATTTCCAGATGCTTCTTAGATTACTAAAAACACTTGTAATTAAAGTTTCTATGAATCTATTGTTGATTCAACCTCTATGCATGCTAATTGAGTTTATCAAACTCATTTCCGAAAATTGCTCTGTCAAACTGTCCCTTTTTGCTTCTGAGGTAGGACTCCAAAGGCTCCCAAACCACAACCCCCTCGGGACCAAACTGGCACAAGCTTCAGAGTGTGCACCACAACCTATCAGCCCATTCCCATCTTCTGTGAAGGCACAAGCTAACTGCCTCCCTCTTAAAAGTAATTTTTCTTTTCCTACTTCCACGTTTGTTTCAGGTTGCCTCATATTTGCAGGAAACCCTTTCTCCTTCTCTCAGCCACAACACATTTCTCTCCTATAGAAGTGACCCAACCTCCACATGCATAAACATGACAATCCAGTCTTATCACTCCTTTCTTGGTGTGACTGCACGGTTGTGACAATATGTCTGGTGACTACTTACTTACTTAGAGAAATTGCACAGCAAAATGATTAAGAACAGAGACCACAGAGCAAAACCATCTAGGTTCAAATCTGGGCTATGGCACTTATTGCTAATTGACCTTGGGCAAATTATATATACTTGCTTCAGTGGCTTCATCTATAAATAAAAGTGATAATAATACTTAACTCACAGAGTTATTTTGCAGATTCAATTAATTTATACAAGTGAATCACTTGCCATGAAACCTAGAACTCAATAAATGCTAAATATTTATTTTGCTAACTTGTCTATTACATTATCCCTGCAGAGAGAGACTGTCTAATCTCAAATCCTTAGCACCATCTTAGCACACCCTCTATGAACATTTCTTAAATGGTAGTCTTCATCAAGAGAGAGACAAATGACTTATAAACTCAAAAACTATAATACAGAAACCCTGAATCTCAATCCCTACTCTGGAATAAGCCTAATTCACTCTAACTTCTGGTTCAGAGTGGGCCACGGGGTCATATAACCTAGGTTAAATCCTGACTCTACCATGACATGAAGCAAACCACATGATCTCTCTGTTCCTGAGTTTCCATATCTATAAAGTGGAGAATAATATTAGTATTGACTTCATAAGATTGCTATGAGGATAAAAGATAGTATATATAAAGAATTTAAAATGGTATTTGGCACATTATAATTATTTAGTAAATATTAGTTAGTATTATTTCTTCAGTGCAATTTTTCCCAATGAGTTGGTACAGTGATTAATGACCAAAAGTACTTTGAAACATGTAGGAAAACAATCTAAATATTTATTGTTCAGATTACCTTACATGATGTCTGGGATTCAACAAATTCTCCTTGTTCTCAGACTCTTACTCAAGAGGAGGTCAGTGTAACATTTCTCAACAGGTTCTTCTTTTTAAGTCTTTATTTAAATTCCAGTTAGTTAACATACAGTGTAATATTGGTTTCAGGTGTACAGTATAGTGATTCAACACTTCTATACAACTCCTGTTGCTCATCACAAGTGCACTCCTTCATCCCTATTAGCTATTTAACACATCCCTCCACCCACCACCCCTTTGGTAACCATCAATTTGTTCTCTACAGTTAAGAGTCTGTTTCTTGGTTTGCCAATCTCACTTTCTTTTCTTTCCTTTTGCTTGTTTGTTTTGTTTAAATGATTTTTCTGAAGAAATCTGTACCAATAAGTTAGGGTAAGCGTTCTTAAAGTGGGGACAGTAAGTTGGGCATGTACCCATGACTCCAGGGAGGAAAACAGCAATAAAAGTCATCTTCCAACTATGGTTCTGAATTCAAGATATAAAAGCCTTTGTAATTTGTTTCTGCAATTAAGAATGTCCTCCTGTACTGCAATCCAGCACTGTTTAGTAGAAGTAGGAAGAATGAGGACTCAACACTTTTCTCTGGAGTACTGTACTTTCACTGCCAATTGTTCTACAGGGGATGATCAGCATTAGACACCACCTTCCTGCTCCCATTTATAACCCCACCTGCAATTTAACAATAGCAAAGGGTAAACTACAAGGGAAGCTATAAAAAAATCAAAACGATTATATTTAAAAATTAATACCAATTCTTTACAAACTCTTCCAAAAATTTTAAGAGAAGGGAACACTTCCCAACTTACTCTACAAGGTCACTATTACTGATATTAAAACCAAAGATATCATAAGAAAAGAAAACTATGAACTAAAATCTTTTATGAATATAAATGCAAAAAAAAATCCTCAACAAAATATAAGCAAACTGATATCAGCAGCAAATAAAAAGGATTATACACCATGACCAAGAGGGATTTATCCCAGAAATGCAAGGTTGGTTTAACATCCAAGACTCAATCAATGTAATATATCATATAATAAAAAAGGACAAAAGCCACATGATCATCTCAATAGATACTAAAAAAGCATTTGACAAAATCTAACACTCCTTCATGATAAAAAAAAAAAAGCTATAGGAGCAAGAGAGGGTGACGCTGGTATAAGGATAGACATAGATCAATAGAATAGAATTTAAAGTCCAATAATAAACCTTCAAAAGAATGGTCAGTTCACATTCAACAAGGGTGCCAAAATAATTCAATGGATATAGAAAAATATTTTCAAAGAAACGGTGCTGGGGTCAACCAAATAACCACATGTAAAAGAAAAAAGCTGCACCCATATATCACAGCATATATAAAAATCAATTAAAAATTAATTACAGGGGGAACCTGGGGGGCTAAGTTGGTTGTGTCTGACTCCTGATTTGGGCTCAGGTCATGATCTCAGGGTCATGAGATCGATCCCTGAGTCTGGCCCTGTGCTGGGTGTAGAGCCTGCTTAAGATTCTCTCTCTCCCTCTTTCTCTGCCCCTCCCCCTCCTCCCTCTCTCTCTCTAAAAACAAATAAAAATAAAGATAAAATAAAATATTTTTAAAAAATTAATCACAGGGGCGCCTGGGTGGCTCAGTCATTAAGCGTCTGCCTTCGGCTCAGGTCATGATCCCAGGGTCCTGGGATCGAGCCCTGCATCGGGCTCCCTGCTCCGCAGGAAGCCTGCTTCTCCCTCCCCCACTCCCCCTGCTTGTGTTCCTTCTCTGGCTGTGTCTCTCTCTGTCAAATAAATAAAAATCTTAATAAATAAATAAATAAATAAATAAATAAATAAATAAAAAATTAATCACAGACCTAAATGTAAGAGCTGAAACTATAAAACTTCATGACCTCAGGTAATGAAATTATTTCTTAGATACAACACCAAAATCATAAAGCAACAAAAGAAAAAATAGATAAATTGAACCATCGAAGTTGTAAACCTTCGTATTTCAAAAGACACCATCAGAAAATGAAAAGACAATGCACAGGATGGGAGAAAATTTTCGTAAATTGTGTACCTGATAAAGCACTTATATCTGCAATATATACAATCTACAATATATAAAAATTTGAAACCCTGTACATTGCTGATGGGAATGTAAAATGGTGAAGCCACTTTAAAAACAATTTGACAGTTCCTTAAAAAGTGAAACATGTACTGCTAGGTATATACTCAAGAGAAATGAAAATATATATTAACATGAAAACTTGCACACAAATGTTCATAGAAGCATTATTCATAATAGTCAAAGGTAAAAACAACCCTTATGTCTATCAACTCATCAATGAATCAGTAAAATGTATGTCCATACAATGGAATATTACTCAGCAATAAAAAAAAATTATGTTCTTATACATGCTGCAACATGGATGAAACTTAAAAACATTATCTGAAGTGAAAGAAGTAAAAAAAGACCACATATTGTAAGAGTCCACTTATATGAAATGTTTAGATAGGTAAATCCATAGAGGTAGAAAGTAAATTTTAGGTTGCCTAGAGCTGGTTGAGGGCGAGGAAAATGCGCAGTGAATGCTAATAGGTATGGGGTTTCTTTGGGGGCTGATGACAATGTTTTAAAATTAATGATGGGTGTTGTAAAACTTCATGAATATCAGCTCTCCTGATTCACCAGCATGTTGGCTATAGATCTTGGGACTTCGCAGCCTCCATTATCACATGAGTCAAGTCCTCATAATAAATCTCTTCATACATATATATATAACCTATTGGTTTTCTTTTTCTAAAGAATCATGAGTAAAACAGCCACAATGAGTCAAATTTCTTTTTATTTGCAGCCAAATATATTCCCAACATTTGCAATGACCAAAATATATAAATGATGCATTACATATTTAAAAATTATAAATATTAACTTTAAACCTTTCTTTTCACAAATATACAGCTTCACATCAAATAAATAAATCCAAATTAAAATTACTGAAAGAAGCCATTATAAAGGATTCTGGGAAGATAGTGAAGTAAACCTGC